CAAAGCATTTATTTAAAAACACAGACATATTTCATACCCTCATATCTTTGAACGACAAATGCGAGTTTGAACGTCCTAGCCCGAAATCACCCGGTCACAACCGCACTGAATCAAAACTTAAACAGTTTGGGATAATAACAACTTCAGATTTGCTGCATTATAATAAACATACAGAAAGAATGACCAAAGAATGGCCAAATGTTCAGGAGACGTGGCTTCCATTGTTATGTAAACGCACAGCGAGGGATAATTCTCTGACAAGCATTACTATCCCACTGTACACGCTTACTGTTTATAAACAAGATAATTCTGTCTGATAAGAGTTCTAATAAAACTACAATCATGGTGAAGCAAAATGGCCGACATTCGGGGAAACAATCTAGACGTCGTAGAAATCAAATGAAAACCATTCCTTTTTAATTACTGACCGTGAATTATTGGTGAAATAAATACAAGATGCTGGATAAGTATCGTTTGTTATGCAAAATTAGCATGAAGATTACAGTTTGTCAATTAAAACGTTTTTGACTAATATATCGATGTTACGTTCATCTTCGTCATTAGCAAGTACGATTTGTAATGACTACGTTTATTACTTTGAACTCTAAACAAAGAGTATAACTGGTCAAACTGTATCGAGTCTTGGCAATCAACTTCGTTTTTATTTATATTACTTTGTATATGACAAATCGTAAAGCTGTGTGAATGGATTTGCGCCACTGCCGAGTATAGAAAACATTATTTCTTTAATATCAACGAGCCACATATTTCCTGTACTTGCTTTCTTTGTATCGGTGTCGTCATCAGTTGAAGTACATTTGTAGTTGAAACAATTTGTGCCTGGATGTGAATAATTTATTCTTATATTGTCCCGTTAGAACAACTCGTAAGGTTGGTCATAATATGACCCCGCGTCACTGAGTCGCAGGTTTCTCTTTGCCTCGTCTGTCACATGCGTTTTTGCTTTCTTTCTTTTCCTCGTAAGTGCGTTAGTAAAGTGGTGTCAGTAAAATAGAATATTGACTTGGAAAATAAAACGGTTTAAACGAAATTGTCGCAAGGTTATGACCATGTTTCTCCGACGATGTCTTGAGTGTCAATAATGCTGACAATAGAAGTTAGATAAGCACGCGATAGGAAGCTAATCATCTGTTATATCAGAATCGCCAGCAGCAGATAAGATTATTTGTGTTAGCGTTTAAAACACTAATTTGAACAGCGTTTTTTGAAATTTCGATCTTTTGATCATTGTTTTTTCTCGCTACCTTAACAACACCAGTAATTCAACACTAGCTTTTAGGAAACACAGTAATTAAATGTCCGCCAAACGTGTGGACAATAAGTAAACGTTCTCTCACTAACAGCCTTATATCAGTTTTGATCCCGGTTTTCCAACGGCTGCCAGAACGCTAACAGTAAATCATATGGGGGCGCCCACATGGGTGCGACGTCACAAAAGTCATTAATATCAACAATTATTCAATCAGGTATTTTTGTGACTCCGAGTCTTTAGCCGAATGTTGGCAAATTCACCCAGAGTTTGAAAGTGACTTTCCAATATTCAGGAATTGTTGTAGCAATACACCAGATAAATTCAAAATTCTGACTCACCATTAGAGAAATTGTTACAGTAGCTAATTCTGTACAAAATGCATGCAGTCACATGGTGATTTCTGAACCAGGCCGCTATGATTCATGGAACCGATCAGTATCACTCACAGCTGGATTCAATGTCGCAACATAAACCCGAAGAGCGTCGTGAAGATGATGCTAGATCGCCGTTTTAAGCTTTTTTCCTCTCCTTAAAACCATGAATTGCGGCACTCGCAGTTCTACACGACGCAAACTCACTGGGGACTATGATCGAAATAGAAAGCGTGTGTCTAGTATCTACATATTCAATTCTCGTCTAATCGTATAAAAAAACAAAATACATAATGATTACAAACGACTAAAATAGAACATAAATAAATGGTGATGTCAATGATTATTTTGTTTATAGTGTTTCACATATCTATTAGCTGGTCATCCGATTCATTACCAGTACACATATATAATTCCTATAGATTTATTACAGATTTGCAATTAAATACCTACACATGAACACATATATAATTACCCTATTAGGTAGACACATGTCCTCATCAAGCATGCGCATATCTAATTCCGATAGATACTTTACGACTATTTTTTATTGAATAAATTGTTAGCTGGTCAAGAACATCACTAATTCCTGCAAAATATCAATTTACTAAAACTAGAAATACATTAATTAAAACAAATAACACACACTTTTAATACTAATGTTTGTACTTATCGTTAAAAACAGATTTAACTAAACTATAAACAATCAGAATAAATTATATTACTATTAGCTTGGTCATACATTTTAATACAGGAAATGTTACAGTCTCGATATATCATAGGAATGGTAAAACATAGCTGCAAAGATAAAATAGGAATGATAGGAATAGTAATAAAATGCTATTCTGTAAGTGTTTTGTACTGCATAGAGTGATTGTGTACTATTGGTTGAACAGATTAAATTAATATGTAAAACATTTAGATTGTGTCCAAATTCAACTTAAAAAAGCATTCATACTCTGTTTTTTTTTCACCTTGACAACCATCTCCAAGATTTTAGAATTGAGGTAATAATCTGTGGTAAACACATTCGCATCAAAGTCTTTTGAACAGAGTTAATCATGTTATACACACAATCAGCAATTAATTCCCAAAAATGGACAACAAGTACCAGGCACAAGTACACATGTTATGGATTAGAATGATTTACCAGTGTCAATTTTAGTGACTCTGGTATAATCTGGCCGTGGTAACACAGTAACACTATTGTTGTGGACCTAATTGCAGTAAAGTATAATATGTGGTAAAATTGAATAATTGTATGAGTAGTTGACAAATAGTTCGGTCCTTAGTAACTTAACATATTCGTATTTACATGATTAAACTGATCATTTATCTTTGCAGCTCGATTTTAATTTATTCATTGAGAGTTGTCGGATGTCATGCATAGTCATGACAATATTGTAGTCTCGTTCCAAAGTCTGCCGAATTTCAACACCCATCAACGAGTCCAGTCCCAGATCACCCAGAGTTGTAGTAGAATTCAGAGTGGATGGATCATCAACACCTAAAATATGTGCAATGGAATCCACCAAGGTGCGACGTTTGGTAGGCGCCTCTTCAGACATGACATAATTTGATGCATCTGGCAGTACATAGCTTGACACCACTGGGTGTTGTTGAGCAAGGAAAGTATCTAGAGTAGACAGATAGGAGGCAACTTTCTGAGGCACTGTACCCCCAACTACTGAAATATTGTAGCCCATTGTTTCTGGCACAATACCAACATCGTCGATAGCACCCCATTGTATGGCCAATGCTGATGAGAAAAACACAGACTAAGATGAAAATTTAATATTGCAGTATTTAATATCTGATCTATACACTTTGTCTGTTCAGCACTTTTCATTAGTATGATCGATAACAATTAATACTTTTAATTCGTTTGAACTTTGTAAATTAACAATATTGGTGGTGTCTATTCAAAATAATACTTCATTATATTAGGTCTTCAAAAGTTAAAATTTGTAAAAACAATTGATTTATTTGTCACTAACCTGGATATCCCTCATAATATCTCTTTTCACATACTCTTTCAATGGCGGAGTTTGCAAATCCATAATTAGTCTGTCCGACGTTGCCACGTCCACTCACAATGGAAGAATACACAACAAACCAGTCCATACTTTCAGCACAGAGCTTGCGAGTAGCTTGGTCCAGATTGCATGCACCAACATACTTGGCAGCATAGACTGATTGGAATGTCTCAGGAGTCTGGTTTTCAAATAAGCCATCTTTTAAAACCTTAATCAAACAAAAAAGTGTTGTTGTCATTTCTACACATATACACACTAGAATTTTTATATAGCATTAAATTTTCATCAATTTTACAATATTTACCATTGCAAGATGAAATAGCCCTCCAACGGGTGCAATTTGGCTGGAGTCTTCTATTAGTTTCTCAGCTCCAGCTTGTTCAGTTATGTCTACAGTCGAGATTGTGACCTGGACTCCAAGGTCGCGCCATTGTTTCACACGCCGACTCTGATAGCCATTGCGAATACCTGATCTAGACGTCAGAACAAGGTGAAGTGCCCCTACAATTATAAGTTGATATTTCTGAATGACTAAATAAAGTCTAATTAGTTTGATACTGACTCAAATCATCTAGTTTTATTTTCTGATATGAATGACACGAAATTATTTATTTGAGTTGTATTATTGTAGATGGGAGGATTTTTCTGGCCAAGCGTTCCCACTAACTCGCTTATAAGTCCTCATTCGGACGCAATTTGAAAACGAGAATGATGTTTATGCGTCCGTATAACCGGATTTTGTCAAAACTTGGTACATGGTTTTGATGTACGTCATTTTATTTTCATGGGGGTAGCTAGAAAATTAGTTTAAAATGTCTGGACTCAAAGAGAATAAATGCATGCAGATTTTGGTAGGAATGACTGACCTCTTAATAAGACTTGTGGCCATTTTGTTTTATTGAATGTTGCTCTTGAGCGATCATGTGGCACATATGTACACATTCGATTCAGGATGGCGGCCATTTTGTTTTAAAGAATACTTTCTGGGCCATATATCTGGCATACCCTGACCATTCATATTTATCAAACTTGATATCTTACAGGGAATATGTTTTCCATTTCTTTGTTTCAATAGTATAATGTGAAAAGATATTTTTATTTGTAACCTGATGTATATTCTCAACAAATAAAATCACCTACCTCTCTCAACTAGCCAGTTAGCCAACTCTAAACCAAACCCTCCAAGACCACCGGTTATAATGTAAGTTTTTTTGGGATGACACACACTACGTGATATTGCAGGGATTTGTACAGGGATGGGCATAGTTACAAAACCAGATTCTTCACTGCGAACCTGTGAAAACATTATTGAATATTTTAAAACAACGTCAGAGAGAAGATAATTATATAAACAGAAACTGGTGAAGTATTACATGTAGTATTGACCTATAATCATGATTCGATTATTGAATTACTAACTTGTTGTGTTGCAATGTAGACGCCATTTTGTTGTTCGGTGTGGTAAGTAGCGCATCTGTTTACAGTGTTTCTTATTAAAAAAATTACCATAATTCATGTTTCTGTATTTTTAATTCTGTTGGTGTGCGAAAACTCTTACAAAACAAAACGATTAAACTGACACAAATTTGTTTTTTTTTGGTCTTAAGCTCCTTGTTATAGAGATAGTACAGTACAGTCGGAACAAATACAACATATTAAAACATTTAAATTACTATTAATAACATTGTACAAAACAATTATCAGACATTTTAGCAGTCTGTGACCAACAATGTCTATATAGCACATTTAAATTAACATGAATGACTCCAAATCGTGCATAAATCGAATACCAACCTGGATTAACACTTTACCAATATGTTTACCCTGTGCCATGAGTCGAAAAGCGCCCTCAACATTATCATGTGTAAATACTGTTGTTTTCAGTGGTTGTACAGCTCCGGATTCTATTCCCTGAGAAACTAAATCAAAAACCGACTGCCAGTCCGGGTTGTCAACTTCAAACAGGGCCTCCAGCAAGATACCATGGAATGTTACATTACGCAAAAACAGAGACATACCTAAAGTAAACAGAATATACATTCAGTGTATATGTGACTGAGACACTTTGAATCGGACACACACAGTTGAATCAGAGTCAATGTGAAGCTACTTACAAGATTGTAAGTAGTCAGACCAATCAGAGAGCAGACTGTGTGTTGATATTTTTTGGATGTACCAAATTCTACCTTGTATATATGCGACAACGTTAATATTTAGTGGCAAGAACTTTAAACGGACACACAATTTGTAAAAATCGTATTGAGTGGAAGAAAAAAATCCGCACTCATAGTAATAATCAATTATTCATGTAAATAATAGTGACCCAAATATAATACATTGTTAATTTTACCCAGTGGTGAATTATTGGAAAGGTCATATTTGCCAATTTCCAGGAATCGTCCGTGTCGCGCAAGTAACCTGGTGCTCGCCTGTAACTTCTGTTCAGCCAGGGAGTTTAAAACAACGTTAACACCTACAAGACAAAGAAGCACACAAGTGTACAGCACACAAAACAAGATTGTTTTACAATCACTGTATTTGCTCTATTGAAAGTGCATCTCTAATAGCAGATGACATTCAAAATATAATACCATAGGCACGACTTTGTCATGCGATATGAGTAGAATAAACGCAATATATACCATGCTAAATATCTTGGTTAAGTCGGTGGTATTCTGTTACTTACTTAATGTTATATACATTATTCAATGAGTCAAATGTCTTTTTCAGAGTTACATAGGTTAGCATAAACCTACCCTTTCCCTTAGTGGCTATCAGAATCTTCTGCTCAAAAGTGGAATCCCTTGAATTACCGAAATGTTCATCATTCATTTCTGGGAATCTTTTCATTATGTAATCTTTCTTTTCATGAGAACCTGAGGAAATAAATCTTGAAATCATAAACATTCATAATACATCTAGTGAAACATGTTACGTCAGTGTCTAAGAAAAAGAGTCTTACCAACTGTTGTAAATACTTGACACCCCTGATGTAGGGCCACAGAGATGGCAGCTTGTCCAACACCACCTGAACCGCAATGTATCAGAACACTTTCTCCCTTTCTCAGCTGCCCCCGGACAATCAGTGCATAGTATACGGTCGCATAGACAACAGGAACTGAGGCAGCCTCCTCCATAGTCCATGACTGCGGTATAGCCCAGGTGAAGTTTTTATCAACACTCACTGTGGTTGCTAGACCTTTAGCAGGTACCAGTCCCATCACACGCTGGCCTGTACTGTTACGACCAGAGAATTCCATTCCCAATACACAATCGTAAGAAGCAATATTAACTAAAAGTGCAAAACAAAATATGCATTCGTAAACATAGAAGCACATAGTGGATAATTTGTTATTGTCATGTTCTTGTGTTTGGAGATGTACGACTGTTTCACTGCTAAAGACACAATGGCAGATTTGAATGAGATCGGGTGCAAATGTGCTCTCAGATAATATGCGGATCTGATTAGTTTTCGACTTAAATCTCTGTATATGGACGATGTGCTTTCTATTGATTAAGATAACTCATAATTTACACATATCAAATACAATGTATATTTAATTTTTCTTTACTTATATTCCATTACACTGGATGGCAAACATTAAGCTTATTATTGAAGGGATTATTTAAATATTGCGAGTTTGTTGTGTTTGTATTGAGATGTGGATGAAAATTACACTGACATGTATAAAGAAATGTACAATTACTGTGAACCTCGAGTTCGATCACACAGCAGAAAAATGAAGTACCCATACAAATAATATTAATTGTGCACATATTGATTATAGTTGTTCACTTTACCTGGTAGAGCATCAGGAGGTAGTTTACCAGTGGCCAACATGATGTCTCGGAAATTAAGAGATGCGTAATAAACATTACAAATCTCCTTGCTCTGACCAATGAATTCTGGGGTTGCATATTTCAAAGGTGATGCGATCCATTTCAGTGTACTGAGATCACCACGTGTCAATATGTTAACATATGCGTGTGGTGTGAGTAAAGTGCTGGATTTAGTGGAAGCGCTGAATGGCACATTGTGAAATGATCCCCATTCGCCATCACGGTAAATATTCATCACTAAGTCTTGTTGCATTATTTTTTTCAATGTTTTGTTCTCCAGATCTAGTAGTTTGGCGTCATTCTCCAGACTAGCATTGAATATGCATCTGTGAAGATGTGATAAATTATATTACATTACAAGCCACAACTGTCAGGGTTTACACTAATTTTCGTGGAGTATACATTCAACACTGTGTAGTAACACATGACAAACATTATTTAAGCAACGATGAAAGCATAAATAACACGTTAATATTTCATTTGAGACAATTTTATGAATGGGATTTGAAACACATTCAGCTACAGCTGGTTCTAAAATGTCATCTTTATAGGGAGTGTGATTTGTTCTGTACATTTACATTTGTTCTTTTTAGCAATTCCATTATAATATTACCAATAATAGCCACGACCATCGGTGCGTTCCATTGTATAAAATAACATGGCTGATGTTGTAAATCTAAAACTTTAGCCATCTATGTGTTCATTTGTATACCAATACCATCTATGCGTTACTCTGTAAAACACTATCCGACTCATTTTATAATGTTATAGCCTAAAACATTTCTGTGTTGATATGTATAATGGAGATGGTTAATAAAATAAGCACAGATGCACAAACCCGCAAATACACAATTCACCGGAATCACCGGACATTTGGTTCGAACTCATAATCAACATCAATCAACATCAATGATATACACAAATATATATTATCTAGTGCTACGCCATGAATATTCACTTGTTGATAAGTTTTACTATGCAAACATAATGTACGTCGTCTACAAGTACAATCAATATACAGTCGGGAGCAATCGCTAGAACAGGTCAGGCATTGTTACATGCATAGGAATGAGTAGATAGCTATGGTTATAAAATTACAGCAAAAGACAAGTGGTGTTCTACATAGTGAAGCACTAATGGTCGTGGATTTCATTTGTTATAAAGTAATTCAATAATGAAAGATAAACAAATGCTATTTTTATTACATATTATTTGTTTTCGGTTTCGGTTTCATCCATATAATTCTGTCTCAAATGAAATAATAACGTGTTTAGATGTAGTTTTTTTTTGTAAACTTAACTTTCAATAAAAAAATTAATACACACTTGAATTGTTAACAAATGTTTTGTTGCACTAGTAAGGAAAACAAATATTTATATCCCCGAACAATCAGAGGTCATGTCGAAAAATAAATAGCGTACAGATCAAATCAAATATATTTACCTAAATCTATCTCCATCTGGTTCCAGCTTTAAACAGTTCAACATACCAACAATGCCAGAATCCACTGCACCATTCACCAGCAACCAGATTTTCTCTTTCATAGGCTTCCTTTGATAATTTGAGATTGCCTTGTTCAAACTATCTACCCATTCAAAGTTAGCACCATTCACTGACAAAATGAAGGACTTCTCATTAAATGAAACACGTTTTCGACACAGAAACAGTGTTGACTGCAAACCATCAGACTTTTGAGAAACAATTTCAAAGTTGGCTGACTCTAAAACTGTCGCCCATTGGTCTTCACTGAGAAACATTTCATACTGTTTCTCCAAGTAAGTGTCATTAGACATATCTTGTGATATTAACTCGAAGACTGCAGGTACTGTGAAGTTTATGGTTCTTTCATGTAGCAGCAGAAACCCACCTTCTATCAAAGCCGATGATATGTTACTCAGAGCTGAGGGAATGTTTGACACTCTGGCAAGGCCCTCTGCAATAACAAGATCTAATGAATTGACATCACCAGGTGGTGATTCAGAAAGATCCCATTTTGTCATTGTGACAGCAAACTCCTCCCCTTTCAATGACATGACCTCTCCAGTTTGATCACTTAAGATATATTTTAGCTGTAGCATTGGTTGTGAAGAATTCAATATTGGAATCACTTTGCTGTACAAGCCACTTCCCCTAACTCCAACTCCAACTTCCACAATCTTCATTTTCATACTTGGTGTGTTCTCCATCACCACATCAAGACAATATTTTAGATATCTTCCACTAGTTAGAACGCTCAGTAACTTATCATTCTGCATCAGATCAGAGTTGAGACTCAATACACTCTGTACGTCTTTAGTGAATGATGCACTCACCTCCAGATTGTAGATTGCATGAATGATTTTGATCAGACCACACTCTGGATCATTCATGTATTTCTTTACATCGTCATTGACTACCATTCTTAACTTTGTACTGTTTAACATCTTCTGTTGATATTGACACGTTTCCTTGAAATGACATAACAGATCTAGGGCGTACTTTTCACAGACCTGTTGGTAATTCACCAATTTCAGATCATCGCCCACAATTCGTTCATCATATGGTACGAATATATAACGCCCAAAGTGTGTCGGAGTTTGCTGTAGTTGACGCACAGGGGCCACAGTAGCATGTAGACCACATATCTCTATACCACCAGCAATGCATCTATCAGTGTATGTACCAACAGTAAACTTCACCTCTGTAAATGAAATGAGACAAACTTTGAAAAGACATGCATGACAACTGACATACACAGTATCTTACTCCATTTTTATATGTTAGCTACCTGGGCAATACTGAGTCAAGTTAAGTCATGCTATGAAAGACTAGAACAAAGATTCTAGTCCAGTATATCACTGGTGTATATATCACTGGTATGTCATTGGATTACAATTGCCAAGAGACACGCTGATTGTATGGAGAATTGTAGTACTACGGTACTGTTCCTGGGACTTGCATACACCTTTTAAAATACTTTCTAGTGAACAGTACAAAAGATTGACCTACCAGTTTTTCCACCCTGCTCGCAGGTCACCCTCTTGAGATGTTCAACAGGATCTATTCGGATTGATCTAATTCTTGTTGGTAATCTAAGGCTCCTGCCAGGCCGTCGTAACATCTGCATTTGTAACATTGTGTCAGTAAACGATATCCAGTTACCATTCCATGTAAGCCATCCATGGTTGCCTGTGACCATTGCAAGTAATCAACATGTACAGGAATTTAAGGTAATTGGAAACAGACATGTGACCAAGAAACATAATGTAAAGTTTGTCTTAACACTTTACAAATGACTCTCCCTTGTAGATTAACGTGTGTAAGGATAATATGAATGGAAATTTGTTTGATAAATTGGGGCAAGTACTACTGCATAGTAATTTGTATCAAATTGACAGTTATGGTTAATGATAATGGTCAAAAAGGCTTGGACATATATGCATGTTCAACCCACGTGGTGTATTTATATCCCTTGCAGAACTTTTCTCTTAAAACAACACTTACAACACTTACACTTATTTACACTTATAGATGTAATACTTAATTAGTTAGCTGGTTAATTGGATACTGGGGTCTTCTTTCAAACAAATAGCAAATATATGAAGCAGATGTGCTTACCAGAATTGCCAGCTCGGACTATTCCTTGGAAAGTTGCTCCATAATCATATCCTCGGAGTCTGAGTTCTTTATATACATCACTTCCAGGTAGCTCCAATAATTCAGTGTCTACTGTACTTCCTTCTTCGTCCTCCAAAACATCAAGGAGTTGCAATGGTTCATCAGGGATTTCTACTTTGCCAGATGCACGTAACTGATGACTTTCAGAAACTTCAAATAGTCCTGTAGTTGGTGCTAGACACACTTCTAGAGTCACATTCCCTATAATTTAAACATTGCGTAACTGTTGAGATCGTGACTTGTTACTTACCAGCATCTGGCTAAGGAGCGTTAATCTAGACATAATGGTTTTCTTATTTACTTTCAGATATCAGCTTATATCAATTTGACAAGCAAAACATTACATTATGAGTTACAATATAATCCATCTAGTAAATACACGAATATTTATAAAGATGAACAAATGTGGTTTAAATCAGTTATCATGGCATATATCTTAAAGATAGGCAACCAGGCTGTAACACTCTTCCATTCCTTAAACTGAAAAGCTCCATACTGCTCCAAGTTTACATTTGCAGTTCAATTATGAGTAAACACGTGTCATATCACATGGCATATATATCTAGGATTATATAAGCAAATATGCATCTTGTTTAAAATTAATATTTGCAAATTGTAAACATCTTAGCATTTTACTCCATATATATTTATTTAGTACCACAGTGTAAGTATTACATATATAGAAAAAATGACATAAAACACAGCCCAAGGCTTTTTAATAATACCATCATAAAAAGATGTCAACATAAAACTCACCTTTGAACTTTGAATTATAAACTTACCTTGACTTGGCAAAACTGTAGCTCTATGTATGGTGACATCTTCAAAGACCACCGGAATTTGTTGGTATGGTAACCCACGTATTTTAGCCAGAGTTTTCCATGCAAGAAGAAGGTATCCCGTGGCTGGGTATAACACTCTGCCATCAATGCAGTGATCACGCAGATAATGGTCTTCTGATGATGGTGATACATCTAATAGAAAGGAAAGTATATTATGTTTATCTCACTAAACGTGGAAATATGCACGCATCGTCTGCATGTG